TTTTATGTGTAGGATTGCGCTGAAGTGCATACATTTTTCCAATAAAATCCAAATAAACTTCTCTGAATGCTTTATGATACACGGAGCGTAATTTTTTCAAAAGCTTTATTTCTTATTTCTTCAAGAGAGCTATCAGGGTCTTCATTACGCATTTTACTGGCTGTTTCATTTAAAACGTCATTCTCCTTGTTCATATGTGAGCTCTGTAAAATACTTCCAGATGTCAATATGTTTGTTCTTGTTAACATCATCATATTGTTTGCCATTGTCATTCCTTATAGTAGAAGATTCATCGTCATTATCTTGTTCACTGTCATCGTCTTCTTCGTAATGATGAGATTTGGATCTATTAGGTCTCAACCGATCGAAAATGTTTCTATATAGATAAGGTTTACGATTTGGTTCCTCATCTGATGTATTTCCATCGCTGATATTTATTTTCAGACATACTGTTCTTATGTTTGAGATGCGAATGCCTATTTAAATTGTACTTTTTATTGAATTTTTTATAACACAAAAAGACATGTGAATACCATTATTTTAAGCGATCAAATGGCAAAATTAATGCCAATTCTCCTTTTTATACTCCCAACTAATTTATTTCGTTTCTCATTTTCTCGTTTTGCTTGCTAAGTGGCTCAATTGGGTGTTCATTAACTCATTTTGCTTGCTCAGTCGCTCATTTTATTTGCTCATTTGCTTATTTTGCTTGCTCATTTGCTCATTTGGTTGCTCTTTTGCTCATTTTGGTTGCTCATTTCACTTGCTCATTTGCTCATTTGCTTGCTCATTTGCTCATTTCACTTGCTCATTTGCTCATTTAGTTGCTCATTTGCTCATTTGGTTGCTCATTTGCTCATTTTACTTGCTCATTTGCTCATTTGGTTGCTCATTTGCTCATTTTGGTTGCTCATTTGCTCATTTTGGTTGCTCATTTCACTTGCTCATTTGCTCATTTGCTCATTTTGGTTGCTCATTTGCTCATTTTGGTTGCTCATTTGCTCATTTGGTTATTTTGGTTGCTCATTTGCTCTTTTTGTTGCTCATTTGCTCATTTTGGTTGCTCATTTGCTCATTTGGTTGCTCATTTGCTCATTTTGGGTGCTCATTTGGTTGCACATTTGCTCATTTTGTTTGCTAATTTGGTTGCTCATTTCACTTGCTCATTTTCTCATTTGGTTGCTCATCTGCTCATTTCATTTGCTCATTTGCTCTTTTTGGTTGCTCATTTGCTCATTTAATTGCTCATTTTGGTTGCTCATTTGCTCATTTTACTTGCTCATTTGCTCTTTTTTGTTGCTCATTTGCTCATTTAACTTGCTCATTTAACTTGCTCACTTACTCATTTGGTTCCTCATTGCTCATTTTACTTGCACATTTGGTCTCTCATTTGCTCGTTTTGGGTGCTCATTTGCTCATTTGATTGCTCATTTACTCATTTTTCCTTGCTCAGTCGCTCATTTTAGTTGCTCATATGCTCATTTTGGTTGCTCATTTGCTCTTTTTGGAGTGTTACCTGTTCTATTGTTATAAAGTACACACTCTTAAGTCATTATGTAAACAATTGATTAAACTTTACATTTTTCTGATGATAGTAAAATACAATATCAAGAAGAAGAAATACTAGATACTAAAGTAGCTTATTAGATGAGTTGACCACAGCTGGTCTAGACTTATTAATAATATTTTGTCCTAATTTTCTTTTCATAGTTTAAACCAATAATTTGATTATAGTTTTTCCTTTGTATATTTTGACCGAATTAGTTAATCCTTTATGGTAACATTTTTTCTATTGTGTACTTTAGACCATATTTATGTGACCCCTACAATTATGTTTCGTTTTCTTTTGTTATGGAAGAACAGTGCGCCATTTTTTATTTCAATCTAATAAGGCATCCATTTTTTTTTTTGGCGGGATTAAAACATTTGTGTGCTAAGCTTTCTATTGTTATTCAGCGCCATTTTTTATTCAAATCTAATAAGGCATCCATTTTTTTTTTTTTTTGGCGGGATTAAAACATTTGTGTCACCCATTCTATTGTTTAAGTGTACACATGATTACGTCATTATGTAAACAATTGACTGTGGATCCCCCCCCATTCATCAATTACCCAAAAACGCGTTTTTCCATGTTAAAACATGGCCTCACATATAATTTTGAAGAAAAATTGCTGTTTTGTAGATTTTTTGATTTTTTTCATTAATGCGGTATGTGCATCGAAAAAAAGCTTATTAGCAACATGCAGTTACAATACAAAAAGTTATGATTTAGTACCACAAAATTTCACTATAAATAGAGAAATGAACATGAAAAACTTCATTTTTCTATATTCATGCATGTGTGCTTGATCTGTTGTGTCTGTCAGTTACATGCATACAATACTATATGTATCTTAAGTTTAGCAGCGCACTCCCTTTTTAAGACATAACGCCAATTGCATATTACAGCACGTAACTTCTGTAAGTGGATATTCATTTGCTAGCATATGACATTATTTTCTCGAGGTAATAATGTTCATCGCTTTATGACAAATAAAGGCTGAAATTTACTTAATCGGCGCAGATTATAAATTATTAAATTGATGTAATAAAGGGGAGACTATTAACCTCGCAACTGGCATCAGTGTATCATAAAACAATGTATGTTAATGTAAAATGGAAAGATAATATTATTGACAGTTCAAATATTTTCCTATATTATATCAAGTTCTTGAAAAACACGACAACGTGGATTCATTTCTTTAAATTTTCATGTTTGTAATAGCGTTGTAGTTTGCCTTTGAATTACATTTACTATGCTAAACTATTAACAACAGTTCTAACATCACGTGCTCCCATTTAACTATGTATTTTTTCATTCATTTTAGTTGTAACCATGACAATATATAAAGATGAACCTTTCGATGATTCATATCACAAGATGAAAATAAATCCTGTATTTATAGGAAAAAAACTTGAATTTTTTTTATTTGTTATATTCTTTTTCTCTTTTTTGACCTTTCAATTCATATATATGAACAGATCAAGCACACATGCATGAATATAGAAAAATGAAGTTTTTCATGTTCATTTCTCTATTTATAGTGAAATTTTGTCGTACTAAATCATCACTTTTTGTATTGTAACTGCATGTTGCTAAAAAGCTTTTTTCGATGCACACACCGCATTAATAACTTTTCTATCTTGAGAAAATATTAGAAATGATAGTTTAACGTCTCAATTCCGACTAAAAGGACGCAAAGAAAAGAGGAATTGATAAAAGATTGAACTTGATTTTCTGTCAGAATGTTAGCCACTTTCGTGGTATTTCTGCCATCGACGGCAGCATTTATAATATGTATCTGCCTACAACGGCAGCATTTTTTCTTCGACCGGACAAGATTGAGCGTCTGTAAAACTTTCAAGAAAAGACTCACGGGGTAGATATTTGGCTTGCGTGACCCCAATGGATGAACGTCTATATTGATAACAGGAAATCCTGCCATTTACTTAAAACTTGAGATATTTTGAACAGAAAACAGACATTTTCACGGATTTTTTCCAAGGCTTTCACTTTTAACCTGCTCAAAATAGTCTTAAAACAGGAAAAAACAAGTCCAAAATTACCTTACAGTATCTCCATTCAATGGACAATAGTTTTATAGCAATGATATGGGCCGTATTTGTGTAATATAATTAAACCAACCAAATTTATAACCTACCTGTACCGATCGGTAATTTTCAGATATCTGCCATCACTGCAGTGATCTGCCATCACTGCCGCCGGTAATACGGTGTGTTTAAGATACTTTTCTATCGTGTATCTTGAGAAATGGCGAGTAAATTTATGAAGTAAAATCCAATACAAACAGTTGTACTGACGTCACTGGATATGTTTGTTACACATGTTTTTCATTGCAAATTGACCATTACATCTAATATGACCCGACACAATCTTTATTGGTATTGTATATTTTTGATACTTTTATACTAAAAATAATGTTATACTCGTATATAAAAGATGTTTTAGAATGCTCCTATTTAAAGTGTGTAGTTTGTTCATACATGTATAATTCTACGGCAAAATCATGCTTATGATAGTTATGTTAGTTCGATTTACATTTTCAGTTGTTTTATGTTGTAGGTTATGTACGTTATCTATGTACAATACATTGTTTAGATGTGAGAAATGAGAAATGAGATTTTAGATATTACAAAAGCATTAATATATATATATAAATATGTAAATCTTTCAAACTTGTTTGTCTTTGTCCCATTCCTGTGTTACAACTTCAGTTTATTAAAGTTGAACGGTGGCCTAGTGGTTACTGTGTCAGCCTCTCACTATAGAGATCTTAGGTTCGAGCCTAACTTGGGTCACGACTATGTTTCCTCATATATAACCAGTACTGGTTAGTTCAAGGAAGTGGACTAGTAAATGTTTAAAATATACTGAAAGGTTTCTTCACAATTCGGCTTAAATAAGTAATGTTTTAATTAGATTAAGAACTTCAGTTAACTTGTCATGTTTTGAATAAGACTAAAACCCTAGACCCTGATTGTGATACCAACAAGTTTGTACTTTAAAAAATCCAGGAACGCTTTCATCAGGTAGAAGTATACATGCAGCTGAAACACTGTGAAAATGATGATTACCTCAATAACTGAATGGACGAATAATTGAATGAATAAATAATCCATTATTCCATCCATATATACATTAATATTAGTGATAACTAATAAATATAGTGTTAACACAGACATATCTAGTCAATGTCTCGAGGTGACAAGCTACTAGTAAACTCAAGCAATGTGGCGGCCTATACGGACAGATGGTATGCAAGCCCAGAAATCCCGTTTTAAAGTGTATATATTGTTAAATGTACTTAAGGGTTTCCTATTCTCTTTTTTATCTTAAAATAGTACATTTTTGAAATTGTCAAGGGTCAGACGAAAAACAATGATATACATATACGCATTTTGTAAAATCATATCAGAAAAGAAGCGTTTCTTCAATTTGTTAAATAAAAATGAACGATTATTTTATAGAAATATACCCTAATTGTTCATATTTTTCCTTCTACAGAAATATCAAAATAGAAAATTGGGATAAAACATTTTTGCAAGGTAACTATAATCTGTCAATTTGAAACGTATTATATATACATATTCGCATGTTCTTAATTAAAAGCCACATCTAATATTTTAAGTCTGATATAACAACTACAGCAGTGTAGTACCATATTAGACAAAAATAACGAACGATGGTTAACATTGTTACAATGCTAAAATCCGTTCAGTCTTAATTTTCCCGTATAATTTTTCAATAAGGTAATCGCATTTTGCAAATAGAATTTTAAAGATGTATTTTCATTATACATTGTATTTATTTAATTCATAAAAAGTTGCGTGCGGTCGACTCATAAACGTACTATTTTTTACGTTTATGTTTTTTTCTCATTTTTTTTTTCAATATGTTTTTTTTTATTTACTACATATCAATCAGATATGATAATATCAATAAGATATGATAATATTTTCAGTGGTGAATCGTCTTAAAACATTTCCAAGCAAGAGTCGCAGAGGGTATATCATAAACCCAATTATCGGGGTAATGAATGTTTTATTTACAGGTTTTATGTATACTATGTTATTATACATTTAAACTATTGTATAATACATTATAATAATACATTTACTTAGCACAAATATGATCATACAGTTACTAATAAATCAGTCTAAGAGTTCTTTCGCCTAAGTTTTAAAAATCGTATTTACACAGTTATTCAAGTGTTATTACTGGATTCTAAATTATTTTGTTTACAAACGTGTCTACAAGTTCTTTCAGCTGAACTACAAACATGGTTTTTGAATATGATTTATTCAGTTAATAATAATATCATGTCATTTGCATAATGTCGTAAATTAATCATTTTGATTAAGTTGTACTTTGTTTATTTCATTTGCTTTATTTGTCAGCCTTGTTGTAAAGAACGGAGACACAGTATTAATTGTTTTATGTTGTAATAAATTAGGTAATATAAATATGAAAAGGAAGTTACAAAGATGACAGATATTTTAACAAGGTCACCGTGTAAATTAGGTGAACAATTAATTCTGTTTTCTATGTAGCCAGATCCAATAACAGGATCGAGTCGGATGAAATGTGGGACAGCTACGAAACTTCTTCTTGAGACAATCTGTTTGACTGGACTCCTGGACATGTATCACTCCGAGGAGAATATGTATGTTAAATACCCTATATTTGTTCCATGGCTATTAAAATGCTAGGAACCAGTCTCAAAATGAAACACAGCATGCTATTGGTTAAATTCAAATTCTAAAATTTGAATTAGCCATTATGAGACATGTGGTACTTCACGAATAACTGTCATTTGACACACACACTGTTAAAGTCATGGTTTTGCACAACACTTATGTACCAGAGTTTGCTGTTATGGCTGTACTTTGTATAAATCTTTGTCTTCATGCGCAACCTTCTAAAAATAAACAAGTTTAATGTGTAACATATCCTGTATCAGAAAACTAAAAAACTATTTTTGTTCTTGAAACCAGAATAAACATTAATGTAAATTTTGTCATGACCACTAACTACAGTGAAAAAAATATACCGATATTTAATTGTTATGCCCATAATGTATCATAGAATTTTCTTATTAAAACTTATGATTATAGTACAGAAAGCTGACATTAATTGCTAATACGTGTTCGTCTTGTCGCTACATAAAGAGACTCATTACTTTAAATATCTATTTGTCTATTTAGACAACTTGATAACATATGACTAAACAATTTTAGATATGTATTTTTTGTTAATTTTTGGTCTTATTTTTATCTTAACTTTTCGAAGAAAAAAGTGGAGCTATTATCATAACCCTCTTGTCGGTGTCGGCGTTTCTTAACATTTTCGACAAGGCTCATTTTCTAAGAAACTATTACGAGTAAAGCTATTCAATTTTAAATTTGGTATACATGTTTATTATCCTAACAGGACGCCATCTTTAAATGGCAGATACTCCTTTATTTGGCAAAGTTATGCCCCCTTTACTATCTTGTCCTGTTTAAATGGTTTATCTGCAAATAACCATTGCTAAATTCAGTTTTCTCTTGTTCTTGAATTCATATTGCATTTTTAGTATTAATAAAGTTAGTTTCATGTATTTTAGTCAACCATCAGATCTCATGCGATGTTATAACATAGTGAACAAGGCCGTGTACAAGGTTAAACAAGAACTGTGTCGTATCGTCGAAAAGGCTGGACAATGGTAATTTTGACTGTAATATGTTCATTATCAACTCCAATGATATTTAACCCGCACCACGCAAAATATCTTAAATGGACCTGTCCACCTAAACCATTCATTATTTTAGGTAAAATTTTGACACAATAATAGATACAATTTTGGCACAATAAGTACTCACTGAGTGGCGAATAGTGCAGACAATGATTGGATTGCACGGATATGCAGACTGATCTTGGTCTGCACTGGCGTACACTGGCTAGAATCAACAGGTTAAGGGTTGATCCTGTTAAGTACATGTATACAACTAGGTCTGCAAAAGGGAGAGAATTTATAAAAGAAAAAAAAAGACCTTTTGTAACACAACATAAAATAACTACACATATTGACGTGTCTGGTAACATTTTGCTCTTCGAATTTTACTTCCTGTTGATACTTTCTATGCTGCCAATTGTTTTAGATTCCCATGTGCCTGTAAGAAATCAAAATTTGTATTTTGTTTATTCATTGAATCATTATTTGCTTACACTGCATCTGTATTTACAACACATTTCCGATAAGAGTTACATATGGTTTTCATCCTTAGTTTTAAACTTGTTTTTGAGCAGTCTTCGCTCGGGAGGAAACATTTATTACATTGGAGATGACAGTTTGGCCATCATGGGTCTGATTGATGCCTCAGAATGTCCACCCACGTATGGTGCCAGTAAGTCTGATATCTGGTTTAAACATATTTATTTAAGCTCGATTGCGAAGCAAGTTCTTGCAACTTATAGGACGCTTCCTTGAACCGAACAGTACTGGTGTCATATGAAGAAACATGGTCGTGATCCGATTAAGGCTCGAACCCATGATCTCTGGTTTGAGAGGCAGACACCTTAACCACTATGCCACTGCTCCCCTTGTCAGATATTTGTGTCATTTAGATTCGACTTTCTACACAACCTCTTTGTAATCCAAGCATTTTTACGAGCATTTTTCATTTTCCTTTCAAAGATATTAATATCAAGGACTTTAGGTAATGACGATATAGCGATAGTCTAGCTTGTACTTTTGGCGGAGGGTCTCGGGTTGTAGCACACCGATGCATTTGAGAAAATGAGCAGATACATACCTTGGAAGATCTACCGACTTTCTGTAAGCTTGCCGGAGAGCTTCATCACACGAAAGAAGTCATAGTCCCTGGCAGGATTCAAACCCATAGCGATTAGAGATAAGTAATATCTAACTCAGCGGCCTTAACCATTCGGTCATGGACGCCTCATATTAATTTTTAACGAGAAGTGCCGAATTATAAATGGCAAGGTGATAACGTGAAGATGTTGAGATGCATTTTATGGTTGAAGCCTTGTATAGAATATACCACGAGATCAGATTTGTTTAAATACAATAACTTGATAAGATTTTATATAAAACGTATTTCTACTTTAGCTTTAGATGATGTTCGGGGATTTGTGGCCAATGGTTATAAAACGTTGCAAAACGTGGAAGGGGATCTGTCTCACTTGGTAAGTAACTTACATTATATCATCGAGTGAAACAATTTAGTCATACTATGAAACCACCTAAATTTTGCCTACTTATGTGAAAACAATATTATTACTTTGATAGCTGAAATATTTGTTGAAATAATAATGATAAACATTCATATAATTGGAAGTGAAATTAAAATAAATCCTTACACGTTCTGTATGTTTATACACGAGCATGTTCTATGTCTTTTAACAAGCAAGCTCTATGTCTATACAAGTGTAAGTTCTATGTTCATACACGAACAAGTATTATGTCTATACACAAGCATGGTCTATGTTTATTCATGAGTAAGTACTTTGTCCATACACGAGCAAGCACCATGTCTAAACACAATCAATTATTTCTATGTATATACACAAGAAAGTTTTATGTCTTTACACGTACAAGTTTTATATCTATGCATGAGCAAGTTCTGTGTCTATACGCACGCAAGTTCTTTGTCCATTCACGGGCACTAATAGCTTAAATTGTTAAAAAATAATAAACCGAGAAGTAAATGTTTACACTCATTCAATTTGTTTAATGGTATTGGAGCTCTGTAAAAAGTTCCTATTTTGTTTCAGGGTGAACATTTTAGAATCTCTCATGACAATTTTTGCACAGACATATCTCCAACTGACCGCGACATATTAATTGCTATAAATTGTGGTATGTCATCATTATATATTTATTCATAGTTATTATTTTGTTTTTACATTAAATAATCAAATGTTTAAAGATCTAGTTTCTATATATTTTCATTCCTTTGGAGTCATTTGTTGAGTGTTGAAGATCCACAATACCGATCAACAGGCGGTGCTGGGGAGAGGGTAGAGACTTGATGTATTTCTTACATCGTATTTTCTAAATGATATTACTTTTCTTCAAATTCTTTCTCTAAATTAATCCCTGCACCCACACACCACCCCACTCCAACACATAAAGAAAAATAGTTCATTGTGTATTTGTACTGTAAGTGGTTTTGTTTTGTTTTTAGATATACCACCGGCAATATCAACAAAGTGTACAAAGAATGGGTGTCGGATGATGCTTATTACGTTTAAAAAGGTAACTGTTTCATAAGTTATACTTTGATTTAGTTTTGTATCAATTTGTTTAGCAAAAGTGCGTTACAAAGGTGTTTTAGTTAAAACACATGTACTCTAAACTGTGTTGGTCTGCCGTTAGAAACAAAACCAAACTTCTCTTATTTCCCTCTTTGTTACATGTATTAATTGGTAATTTGATTTTTCCACTTTAAAGTATCATGTTATTAAGAATATTTTAGGCAACTTATTCAATGCTTCAATGCCAATTGAAAAGTATTTGGAATTTTTCAAATAAATATCAAAATGCATTCTACTCCACGGAAATTTAACAAAAATAAAAGTACCACATTTAAAGCAGACACTATATATAAATATGTTTGCATTATATGAACGCAAGGAAATACGACACTCTAACTGTATAACTGTTGAATACATATGAGATATATAATATAAGGGCCTTTGGCAGGAGTGTCTTGTTCTATAACTTGCCTTAGTTACTTGAACGGGTCATGCTCGTCAATACCGAGCAGTATGTGATTATTGTCAAGCAAATTAATAACTTAATGGCAATTCGTCTCTCAATGCTGATTCAGAAATCAGGCGTATTGAAAGCCGGTCCCTTGCGAAGAAATTAGTAACTACTGGTTTTTTATCCAGGAAAGCCAATTTGGATGTATGGGCCGACCAACGAAATATGACTATAGACCTTTTAACGACGCGGTATAGACCTGCAATGTAGCATTTTCTCGCGCATGCGGAATTTGCGTAGGGCAAAAAAACCCTAAAAGATATAACTTTTTTGAAATTGTCGAAAAAACCAAACCAATAATCATATTGTAATAACAGGTAGAGGGAAAGGATTTTACTCACCCGCTATATATAGAGGATCCGACAACTGAAATAGACGAGTTAATTGGGCCAGAAACCAGAAAGATAGCTAGTCAAATGTTCCGAGAAATAGCTGTAAAGTGCTGTTTGAATGCAATCAGCACTGGGGCTCATATTTTGAAAGGAAAAGTGTACAGAAATATTATGATCGACGTTAAAGTAAGGTAAGTTATGAATTTTGTCTCATTATGTTAAAGCGGCCTTCAGTTTTTAGTTTTTGTTGGGAAGAAACAATTCTGAGTTGTTTCAAACTAAGTATTTCAATAATTTTATCTTGGAAAAGTGCATCATATCACAGTAAGACTTCATCAAAACACCGTCCGAAGGTCTATGTATAACGCGTTAAGGATTTTCGTTTCTAAAAATAGAAGATCGTGGCCGCTTTACTAATTAGCTCACCTGAGCTAGCTCAGGGTGAGCTTTTAGGATCGTTGAATGTCCGTCGTCCGTCGTCTGTTGTCCGTCGTCCGTCCACACTTGTTCGTTAACACTCTAGCGGTCACAATTTTGCCTCAATCGTCATCAACCATTGTCAGGATGCTTATCTAGTTGATAGGTCGGATGAGTTCGAACATGAGTCATCTCGGATGAAAAACTAGGTCACCGGAGCTAAAAATAGAAAAAAAACCTTGTTAACACTCTAGCGGTCACATTTTTGCCTCAATCATCATCAAGCTTTGTCAGGATGCTTGTCTAGGTGAAAGCTCGGATGAATTCGAACATGGGTCATCTCCGATAAAAAAAACTAAGTCACGGGAGCTAAAAATAGAAAAACCTTGTTAACACTCTAGTGGTCATATTTTTGACTCAATCGTCATGAAATTTGGTCAGGATGCTTGTCTAGGTAATTGCTCAAGTGAGTTCGAACATGGTTTATCTGGGATGAAAAACAAGGTCACAGGAGCTAAAAATAGAAAAATCTTGTTAACACTCTTGATTCAAATATCCTGTAAATTGGTCTGAAAGTTTGTTTTGGTGATTTCTATGTCAAGACCGTCAAGTTCGAATATGGGTCACCTGGGGTCAAAAACTAGGTCACACTGTCCAAATATGGAACCTTGTAAACACTCTAGTGGTCACATTTTTGACTCAATTGTCATGAAACTTGGTCAGGATGCTTGTCTAGGTTATTGCTCAAATGAGTTCGAACATGGGTCATCTCGGATGAAAAACCAGGTCGAAGAAGCTAAAAATAGAAAAATCTTGTTAACACTCTAGTGGCTACGGTTCTGATTCAAATATCCTGTAAATTGGTCTGAAAGTTTGTTTTGATGATTTCTAGGTCAAGACCGCCAAGTTCGAATATGGGTCACCTGGGGTCAAAAACTAGGTCACACTGCCCAAATATGGAAAAACCTTGTAAACACTCTAGTGGTCACATTTTTGACCCAATTATCATCAAACTTGGTCAGGTTGCTTGTGTAGGTTATTACTCGGATGAGTTCGAAAATCTTGTTAACACTCTAGGGGCTACTGCTTTGATCCAAGTATCCTGTAAATTGGTCTGAAAGTTTGTTTTGATGATTTCTAGGTCAAGTTCGAATATGGGTCACCTTGGGAAAAAACTAGGTCACACTTCTCAAATATGGATCATCCTTGTTAACACTCTAGTTGTCACATTTTTGACTCACCTGTCATGAAACTTAGTCAGAATACTTGTCTAGGTAATTGTTCGGATGAGTTTGATGGGTCAGGTGAGCGATCTAGGGCCATCTTGGCCCTCTTGTTTGAATATAGGGAGCGGACCGGTAGAATTAGCGGTAAGGAGGGGTTTCCTTATTGTTTATATAGTTTATCGATGACAAATTTTATTTTCCACCTGAATTATTTTGATTTGACAATCATCTAATAATAACATATTTAACCGTTATAAAAGCAAGCTAGAAGTGTTTTGTTAATTATAGGTCATACTTGTGAACAATGTCAGTGTCACATGACGATGTCTTGACTTATAAGATCACCCACTTCTAAATGATTCTTTTTAATTTAATTAAAAATAACATTAGAAACAAAATGTGTATTGATAAAGATATATTGAGTATTGTTGAATTGATTACATATAAGTGGATTCTTTCCTGACATTGTATTTGTTTGTATGTTTGTTTCTTATTTTCATCTAGCAATAACAAACTTTTCCACCGGGCGGTTGGAATTCTCGAAGTAAGTACAGTTTATCTATTTGATTGACAATTTTGCTTCAATTTAATTGAAAAAAGTCACTCAGTTCAACTTTTTTGTAAACACGATATGTTGTCAAAATTCATTGAAACCTATTCCGTCAGCACTAAATTTAATTTAAGTTTTTTTTAAAGGTGCAATTTCCGTACATTATCATTTTGATGTCAGTTTTACAAATATAATGCCGGGATGAATATGTATAACCATATCAACAGTTTATCATATTTTATTTCCTTGTTATTATGTCATAAATGAAATTCTCTGACAAGATTGCATTATTATGATAACAATCTTTTTAAAATGATGTGGAAATTACCATAAATTTTGCATCTGATTATCTTCATTTAGAAACTTGGTCAAATGTCAAAAACGAAGGCCATGGATTATTTGTTAAGGTCTATTTACAACACTGACGAGGTTTCGGAAGCTATGAATTCTAGACCAATAACACAACATATTGCTGCTGCTACAGAACTTGAAAAGGCAAGTCACAATAATCGACAAAATTCGGTTGTTCATTCATCATTAAAGGCGTCCCTGCTCGTATTTATCAGCATTGTTTGAAAAAAGATTACCAAAAAAAACAAACAAAAAAAAACCCAACAACAACAACAAGATAACTACTCACAATTACAATTTGTGCGGCATTTCAAATCCACTTTTTACTTTGTTACGCTATTTCTCTTATTTCTACATTTCTCAATTACTTATAAGTCGTCCGTTAATCTGTTTACTTTGTGGTTGAGAAGTTGCCTTTAATGGTTGAGGCATAAGGCTTGCAGCCATCCCGAGTGATCGTAAGAGGTGACTAAATGGGTTTGAATATCTGGAGTCTCTTATGTGGTTTTGACTCCTGGTGTTGCTTTCCTATTTCGGCGCGCCATATGGCCAAAATTGTGTTGGTTTGCCGTAAAACCAAGCAACTAACTGTTTATCTTTATGATTTTTGTACTTTAAAAATACTATTCTTTCAAAATAACTTATATATATTTAATCAATTCTAAGATTTACACCAGTATATGTGTTTCTTACAATGATCTATTCTTTGTTTCCAGGTGGTGCCTGTTGCCCTCGTTGCCGCAGTAACCAACACTTCTATAGCTGATGCTAAAGTGGCATTATCTAAACACTCCGTTATCAGAACTGCGATAGTGCAAGCCCTGAAAAACATTAGCTGACATTTCTTAACCAATACAAGCTACTTACATGTAATGGATTCGCCCTTCTTTTGAAATTAGATCAGTCCATTCGAATTTTAGGGAATAACGATATCAAAATACAGAAAATGAGCTACCAACAGTCTAGACCCTGGGTTCCGACTGGCCTGGCTCTATATTGGCGGTAAAGGTTTATTATTTTTGATTCAGACAGGATTTGGGTTTATTGGGGGAGGGCCCCCGATAATGTTTGGCCCAACCCTTTTGTATATTTACATTAATGTTTTTATATATAATTGTGAAAATTTATGTAGGTATATATATACAATAAAATATGTTTAAACGTTAAACATTTGGGTTTATTGGTCTTATTTTTCAATGACTTTGGAAGCTTTTGGATCTCAGCGGAAATTTTCAAACAAGATATTTTCAGCAGCAATATTATTTGACAGCAGTTATAGCAATGTTTGTGAATTACGATATAAATTTGTTACATTGACATTAAAACGTAACATTTCTTGATAGAGTAAATAAAATTGTTTACACATGGTATAAATGTCATATCGTTATTGTTAATAATATCGTTATTGTTAATATACAGAAAAGTAAAATGTACAATGTGTCCATTGTTTTTACTTTATCTTTCGGATTGAATGAAAAATGCCGGTGAAATAATATACAATGTGTTGCTTTGTAAATCATTTTTAGCTTACTGATATAAAACGTAACAACAACAAATTTCCTATACTGACTTTACTGTTTCATTATATAATTTATCCATTTATGGAAAGGAAATGGTAGGGCGGTGGACATAAAAAGCATCACACTTGGCCAATCGGTGACAAAACATCTCCCACCATAAATTTTGAACATATTTATGGTTAGTTTAATTTGTTTGTAAACATTTTAATGAAAATGATACAAGAGTATGACGTAATTTTGGGTGGTAAATGTTTTATTTACAATTATGTATACACACGTGACTGCGAAAGTAATTTAGCGATCCTACATTTTACCATCCCCCTCCCTCTGTGGTATGTGTTTAAAATATAGTACAATTTTGAATTTTTTTAAAATTAAATATTTGAGTATGAATTGGCGTGGGAATAAAAGATAAAGGATTGGATTCCTTACTAACCCCGGACTGGTCCTTATTGATTTATTTGAAGTCAAACACTGAAGTTAACTATTCCCAACAATCTTTTGACAAAATTTATTATTTTCTTAAATCGCACGCAACATAATTTTATTGACTTTGCACTTTGAATTGAAATGCACTTTTAAGCATACAAGTATTGGCTGATCGGTTGTTGTTGTTTTTTTTTACAAATTCATACATGAATTTATCATAATATACACTTTACTGTGTTGCTTTGAATACATTCAACCTTTAGAAACAAACATGATTGATATAAGATCTATGAGCCGCGTCATGACAAAACCAACATAGTGCGTTTTCGACCAGCATGAATCCAGACCATCCTGCGCATCCGCGCAGTCTGATCAGGATCCATGCTGTTCGCTATCAGTTTCTCTACTTTTATAGAGTTGGTTAGCGAACAGCATGGATCCTGATCAGACTGCATGCGCGGTCGCAAACGCACTATGTTGGTTTTGTCGTGACGCGGCTCATATGTATTTTTTATATCTATGCCCAATTTCGATGAAAACTTGAAACTTATTTCAGCCATTCTAGATTCAACTTTACTAATATTGGTGGGTAAAAAATTGCCGTGGCCCCAGTAGGATCTCGAACCCAAAGTGTCCTGGGTTGAAGGGCATGTACCTTAACCGATAAGTCACGTCTTTCCTTAGATTGGTTGTACTTGACTGGCTTATTTTGAACTTAGGTAACAATGATGTAAGAAAGTTTAAAGTGAAATTCAATTTACAAAACGTTATAAATAGACGAAGTTTACGACCCTTATTATCGTGATATTTTAAGTATAGGTAAGCATATACAACATTAAATTGGTCAAGAATGGCGTACGTAGTATTTGAAATGATTTTTATAAAACAGTCTTTACTAGACTGGTCAAATTTAGCAGATTTATCAAAGTAGATGTGTAATGATTCATTTAAAATACTGCAATTCTATTGGACAAAAGATATTTTAAGCACTAAACAACTTTTAAAAAATATTTTGTTTAAATTGATCTGTTTATTTATTATACGTGATAAAATGTAAATGTTTGAGATACTTTGATGTTTTCAAGGTTAATTATTGTATGAAATATCTTAAAACCATTTAAACCAACTTTAAATAACACGATAAATAAGGAATAATAAAGAACTTACAAATAATATTATTTGTTTTTATATATTTTCTTTAAATCAAAGAATGACTACATAAACCCACTGCGCCTTAACAGTAATAATATGAAGTCAATCAGGAAAACAACAATCGTCTTCGGAACTTTTTTTTTCAGAACTAGTTTTGCTTTCTTCCATAATCCTTATAATTGCCAGCTATTTTGCGTAGGCGCGCAGAGAAAAATTATATCGTAAGACATAAAGATTTATAAAATTAGACCAATAAATGAATAAGAGAGAGAAAAAAATCTGACCTGCCTCCGTTTATATGTGAACCAGAAATAACAAATTACTCTCATCGTCTGCTTGCCGTATACATGTACACAGAATATACATGTATACAGAAGATAGTTAGCTTCTCTGCTTGACTGTTGTTATTTTATATAAAGATAAGGCGGAGACACTAATAATGGATAAATTCAGTTATTTATTAGGGATTTTTATGTTTCTAACAGGTACGTGCTTGTATTTTAAGTGCTTTGAATATAAAATTGATTATATAACATTTTTTACAATGATTTTCCTCTGTTATATCTGTTATACTTAAATTTTGACTAATTTGATTTTTGTTTTGAAGGAATATAATAAATCGAATTAATGAATGAACAGCATTCAAAGTCAATTTTAATGATGTTTGGTTCTCAATATTTACCATTATATAGATGTATATCGTATAGAAAAGGGAACTGACAATATACATATATTGTATGCCTTTAAAGGCACCTTATGCCTGAAGGAAGTAGAGCTGAACGTGCAGTAATGTGTTATAAAGGTCGCGGAATGTACAAATTTTGACTTCCATACAAAATACTAATTCACTATAATTACACCAATCTATGCGGCAAATGAGTAACTGATTTGGAAACTATCAAGATACCAATAATAAGGTTTTGAAAAATAAAAAAATGATTGCTTTTCTGAGGCACAATGGGCCTCTTAGCACTAACAACACATCAGCAAAGAAACTTAATAAACAATATACAGTACATTATTAAAAAAGGTGTTTTAAAACGAGCTTATAAGTACAGTATCTGAGGGGGTTTCGGTGAAAGGTCTTCTATTTGGGGGAATATCTGAATTGTAATTATATCGAGAAAGATAAGGTCAAATTATACTGTGGTCTATGAAATTCAAGATGGTATTATAGGTTATATAGGGGTTAATATTAATGGCGAATCGCCATTCTGTCGATTAATGATTAAAGTCGAGGACCGTGCACCACCATCTCGAATATACTGAATGTATTTAATCTGACTATACAAACATGGAAATATTTATAAAAGCAACAACAAAAACAACAACAACAACAAAACAAACACACAAAACAAAAACGCATGGACTTTTCAAAGGTACGTGTACATTATACCCCAGAAATGAATAAATATTTACTTTTTAAGAAGGATCAAACATGAGTTTTATAACGTTAAAATAAATGTTTAAGAGCACGTAAGATGTTTGTTAGCTAAAGGAAAAAGCGCTGAATGTGAAATAATATGTCATAAAATAAGCAAACATGTAGTAGTTTAAGTTATGTAGTTTAGTTTAATAAGTCACTATAAATGAGGAGACAGTTTAAGTAATTGGTTGCAATGTGTAACTTGTTGTAAACTATAAAAAAAAAGAAAAGAAATATAAATGAAAGCTTTCCGGTGGAATAATGTGCCTTTAAGACACCATGTTTGTAAGTGTTGAAAATATCCCTATACCGTTTTATGATTTTTATAGTTAAAGATCTCAAGTTTAACAAGTACATTAATCTCTCGGCATGAATAATGTAAATGATGTAAACGGCTATATCTAACTTCCAGATCCAGTTTGCATTCAATTTATACGTATCAAAACTTTAAACATTTAATTGATTATGCAGGTCTCCGCACATCAT